CTTCCAACATTTTCGACAGCAGACATTATTCTGGCAGACATTAAAGGTGGGGTAGGTAAGTTTGAGAAACCGGCTCGAGATACACTTGTTGTTATATTCCATGGAATGCTCTTAACATCCCGATAGCAATGAATATCTGAAGTGCTTTGACAAAAAATCCATTAATAAATATCATCTGTGGAAGCTGTGGTACTGTAAAAAGCACGACCAATCATCTGAGCCGGCCCGGCTAAAATAACTGGATGGCCTACCTGCCTGTCAGCCTTCCATCTGTGCACAAACTTATCTCGTGCCCTCATTGGTCATGTGCGCGTTCGTGTGTGTTGGAGGAGGGGCTCTGTGAGGAAGTGGCAGATTTTCTCCGGTTGTGTATTTTCAAATTCTAGCGCACTCAAGCTGGTTTCTCCAAAATGACCTACCCCACCTTTAAGACGTTTGCTTGCAGGAAAAATAGTTGGTATACATTTTGTTTAAGGCAGAATGGGAAGGAAAATTGTGTGTGGTGTCTGAGAGCCTTTGTTTGAGCCTTCTGGATATTCCTGTACACACATGTTCAGCATCACAACACACAATACTGTATACACACACACACGCTGAAACCCCAAAACGTAATCAGTATGCCGTTTATTATCAAAAACCTCCAATAATAGCGATAAATGTGCAATAGAACAATATTTTGAATTACAAAAATGTCCCAAATTGGGATCAATAAAGTACATACACAAAAAACACAACCAAACACACACACACACACACACACACACACACACACACACACACACACACACACACACACACACACACACACACACACACACACACACACACACACACACACACACACACACACACACACACACACACACACACACACACACGTAAGCTCAGAAAATAGACTTGTTTTGTAACATGACTTTTTAGTTTCACACCACACATGAACAGTGATTGGTCTCCTGCGAAAAACGTAGTACTGATAATAAGTACCTTTGTTAATTAACTTAGGTTACATACATAGGCTAAGTTAAGTGTCTTAGAAAAGTTAAGTACGTTACATAAATGTACCTACATGTGTAAAAATAACTCCATGTTATGAGTCACAAACACAACAACCCAGACCTCCTAGACTTTGTTGCTCTTTATTCTACGTCACATGACTTCCTCCTGGAGTAATAACACTACGGCCACTAGAGGGCGCCACCTAACTAAAAACGTAAATATAAATCGCAATGAAAACGCCAGTGTTTTAACAATTTAGGTCAAAAAAGAGACATATACATTATATAGTACACATACAGAGCGTCATTTAAGGTAATATGTATTTATATAGCCATTCTGAAATGAGTTGTGCACTGATTAATAGAACGAAGAAAGAAATTGCAAAATCTTATGAAATCAAGAAAACTAGAATAACCTTTCACAGTGAAAGTCCGCAACTGCTGAAATGCCATCTAAGAGTTTGTCATGGCATAAAATCCACTTTACATTACGTAGACTTTGTTGGTCTTTGTTCTACGTCACATGACTTCCTACTTTCCTACCGTGTTATTAAAACGGCCACTAGAGGTCGCTGCCTAGCAAGAAACACAAATATATATCGTAATAAAACGCCAGTGTTTTTACCAATTTAGGACAGTCTTACACATTAAATAAAGCCACATCATATCACAACGTTATGTATAGTACATGTACATAATTTAAGTTAAGAGTTATGTATGTTGTTCTGAAATGCACTGATTGATAGGATAAAGGAAGAAAGTGATAACAAAACCTTGTAAAATCTAGAAACGTTTCTTCACCTGTAACTACTTAAATGCGGTCTTGCTGTTAATATTAATACTACAACCATTAGAGCTCGCCCCTTAACAAAAAACGGAAATAAAAAATCGCAATAATAAGCTTGTGTTTTTACAAATGAAGACAGTCATACTTCTAAAATCCACTTTTCGTCCTTTGTAGCGTTGAGAAAACACAACAACTTTTAACAACTATTCCCGATGTGTCACTCGAACGAATAAAGTTATTCTGATTCTAAATCCAAATGGTTTCTGTTTTTCGGAAGTGACCTTTGATAACATGTATCTGTCAGGGAGGCTGAGTCTGAGAGAAAAGCGAGGAGAGAGGAAGAAGGAGGACGGAGGGAAGCTTCTGGATCTATTTTTAATCCCTCATTCAATGTTTAATGCCTGTGGACGGGCCGGTGGTGTGATTCCCTCCCAGCCAGAGACTCATTCAAACACTCACACACACCACACGGCTCATCGACCTCCTCTTGGCTGCAGATCTGTGGGCAGAGATAATTAAAATGTTTATTCTGTTATAACTTTAATTACCCGTGTACAAATGTAATCAGTAACCTTGCATTGATCCTGATTACGTCATAGGTTACTCCCGAAGCCTGCTGCTGCTGCTACTACAACTACAAGTGCACGAATACATGAAATAATTACACATTGTAATATTCAAACATTGTATTATGTCCATACAACATGCTGCAGTTTTATTTTCTGCACTCTATGCATCCAGCTCTTGTTCTGAACTTCAGCACTGGATGGAAATCACTGTGTGTGTGTGTGTGTGTGTGTGTGTGTGTGTGTGTGTGTGTGTGTGTGTGTGTGTGTGTGTGTGTGTGTGTGTGTGTGTGTGTGTGTGTGTGTGTGTAATCAGGTTTGTAGGGCCAGCAGGAGTGTGTAAATGGATCAGGATGTTAGAGCTTCCTGCTGCTGGAAGACAACCTCAGGTCACATCACTTAAACTCAAACCATCAATGAGGAGAGAGAAAGATTCGAAGGCTTTATTTGTCATGTGAACAACAGCTGCAGCGTAGTACGGCAATAACCATCCCATGCTTCTCCATCAATGCAACATACAATATACTTAAGATATAAAAGAATAAATAGTGCAAGTTTTTTACCATTTGGGTATCTGGAGTGCTTCAGCAACTAAACTATGCAATAAGACAAACCCTCAGTCAGTATTTAGTGAAGATATTCACTCTTCTTCCCATGTCAGATGCAGGATAATAAGAATTTACGTTCCCTTATCTGAGTTTCTACACACATGAAGTACCTTTGCAATATTTCTTGCATTAGATCTCAGTTCACAGCGTGCTTCTTTTGAGACAGGGGCTTGAATGGGGTTTTTAAGACAGACAGTGGGTTTATTAGAAACACAAATGTACTTGCAAATGAGCATAATATGTCCCCTTTAAAGGACACCTATCATGCTATATTTAAATGATATATTGTAGGGCCATACCTATATAAGGTATATTTTACGTTTCTGTTTTCAAAATACCAAACAGATCATGCATTTTAGCCATGCCTCATTTCGCTCTATGTGCTGTTTGCTGTCTACGGGTCTGATTCTGCTGACCACGCCCCCCTGCAGGAGAGGGGAGACGTGCTCTGATCAGCTGCTGGGCTGTCAGAAGAGGGGGAGAAAAAGAGATCTCCGTCCTCCGTGTTTTATTATATAGAGTCGTTATTCATTTGTTTTAAAGCTCAATAAATAACAAAGAAGACCTTTGACCGGCACTTTTCTAATTTTGTCCGGAAGATTTAAACTTTAACGGACATCTTGACCGGCGAAAGAAAACCTAACTGAAACTCTGCCGCACGGTCCCCTCGTTCCTTGGAAGAGGCGGAGAGGTGGGTGTTTGTCATCTGCTGGTGGACTAACCGGAGAGAATTACAGTGCTTGCCTCGACGGGGAGGGAGAAAGAAAGGCACAGCGGAGAATAAACAGAAGGGTAACCATGGTAACCATGCGCGGGAAGTCTTCTTCGCTGCTTTTGTGGCAGACTACAGCGCCACTTACAGGCCTGGCATATGTACTACAGCGTCTCCAGCGCTTTCGAACGGCAATGGCCGTGGCTGTCTCCTCCTGATTGGTGGAGTTGGCCCAATAGCCGTAGCGCCACCGTCCTGACGTCAGGACAGTGTTCAAATCTGGATCAGTTTTTATCAGATCCGTTGCAGTCCCTTTTTTAGAGATTTGGGTATGGAGGAAAATAGAGAGGGTTGTGTTTTCTGACACTTGGTGAGTTCCCTGGAACACCGGGGACACATATTCATGTAGAAAAGACGGACAAAAGTGCATTTTGCATGAAAGGTCCCCTTTAAGATATCAATGTCATTTCTATTATCGCAGTTATCTGGTGAAATTCTGAATGAACACAAGTTGCAGAAAACCAAGAGGTTCATAAAAGAGAGTATGATCTTTATTTTGACACGGTGGCATTACTACTTCATCGTACCCGGTCTCCTGGCTTTCCAAAGTCTCCATATCTGGGTCATTTTAAAAATAACCGAGGGTTAGCTGAGCTCTGGTGACATGTTGGTCAGCTGCAGGCGTCTCACAGCCTCAGGGTCATTGTGAGAGTTTTATTTTAGCTGTTCATTGTTTACACGGAAAAACACTGAACACAACAGAAGGAGAAAAACTGCAGATCTCAGCTCTGCATTTAAAGGAACCTGTGAGTTTGGGGTTTTAATAGAAAATGGAGGACTGGATTACACAGTTGCTAGAGAAATTGTCAACACATTGTGTCGGGTGTGATATTCATGCTGTGTCAATGCAGATGATGGCAGCTGGTATTTGCTCATGTGGTGTATACAATAAGCTGGATCCACATTAAAAAACCTATACATCTGGCTCATGCTGCAGGTGTGAATGTATGGGGTCTGTTTCTAACAACTAACTTATCCTTTATTCAGTCTATTCCTCCATGTACAGGAGTTCAAACAAAAGGGAACTCTATCTATTCGACATATTCAATCAGTTCATAGGTGTGGGAAAATACTACTGATTATGTGAAAAGTGTTTCTATTACAGATTACAGAACTCTTTTTAAGCGGTTCCCATCTTTGAATTTGACCTGCATTTAAATCCCTGTCTCTCCTTTTCCTTTTGTGTGTGTGTGTGTGTGTGTGTGTGTGTGTGTGTGTGTGTGTGTGTGTGTGTGTGTGTGTGTGTGTGTGTGTGTGTGTGTGTGTGCTCAGTGTCTCAGATGGTGATTGAGGAGGTGAGCGTTCTGCAGACTCAGCTGGAGATCGAGAAGTCGTGCCGGGAGAATGCAGAGGCCCTGGCCACAAAGGTCAGAAACACACACACACACACACACACACACACACTCACACACACACACACACACACACTCACTCAATAATCAATACTAGGATTAGCATAATTTGGGGTTCAGCTGGCACTAGCAGGATGCTGAATCAGGATGACTCTGCATTGAGACTGTTTCCTCTAAAATCTTTACTTACTTGCAATAAAACACAGACATAAAATACGTAAGTGAATTAAAAAATGTGCTAACAAGTGTCTAAATGAGACGACTAAACATCATCACGGCCAACATTAGCTACCTTTAGCTTAGCGGTGGTGACGTGAAGTCATGTGACCGAGCTGTAGTTCCTTTATAGCCCAACATTAGCCACCTTTAGCTTAGCGGTGGTGACGTGAAGTCATGTGACCGTACTGTAGTTCCTTTATAGCCCAACGTTAGCCACCTTTAGCTTAGCGGTGGTGACGTGAAGTCATGTGACCGTGCTGCAGTTCCTTTATAGCCCAACATTAGCCACCTTTATCTTAGCGGTGTTGACGTGAAGTCATGTGACCGTGCTGTAGTTCCTTTATAGCCCAACATTAGCCACCTTTAGCTTAGTGGTGGTGACGTGAAATCATGTGTCCGTGCTGTAGTTCCTTTATAGCCCAACATTAGCCACCTTTAGCTTAGCGGTGGTGACGTGAAGTCATGTGACCGTGCTGTAGTTCCTTTATAGCCCAACATTAGCCACCTTTAGCTTAGCGGTGGTGACGTGAAGTCATGTGACCGTGCTGTAGTTCCTTTATAGCCCAACATTAGCCACCTTTAGCTTAGCGGTGGTGACGTGAAGTCATGTGACCGTGCTGTAGTTCCTTTATAGCCCAACATTAGCCTCCTTTAGCTTAGCGGTGGTGACGTGAAGTCATGTGACCGTGCTGTAGTTCCTTTATAGCCCAACATTAGCCACCTTTAGCTTAGCGGTGGTGACGTGAAGTCATGTGACCGTGCTCAACATTAGCTTTTTATTTACAGTGGTGTTAATATTTGAAGATAATCCTGCTGAATAAAACAAGTCCTTGCGATGCTAATATTTGTGATACCTTCAATCAAAACAGCTCATCAATATGTATTGCTCTCATCTTATTTCCATTGACCCCTGTGACCTTTGCCCTCCAGCTGAACTGTGAGAACAGGAAGTTTAAGTACCTGAGTCTGTCGTCTCGGACCAGTTTGGAGGAGCTCGCTCCCTCCATCGAGGCCGACAGCGCAGACACCAGCCCCGACAACTTCACCCAGTACCAGCAGCAGATTAAAGGTACACCACGTGGAGTTATATCCACTCAGTTACAGAAACAGATCAAAGGTACAATACAAAAAAATAAGCGTTACTGTTCTGATTGTCTGCAGAACTGAGGGAGACGGTGAACATGTTGTTGGACGAGAAGAAGAATTTCGTGTGTCAGGTTCATGAACAGCAGAAACGGATAGAAGAGCTGACTTCACAGGTGAGGAGGGAGCAATATCAATATCAATTCATCTTCATCTTCATCTTCCTCTTCTTCTCTAAGGTGCATACTAGTGCCTGATTGTATTTAATTCTCTTTGCAGTCAGAGAAGGATCAGGCGGAGATGAAGGAGCTTCGTGAAACTGTCGAGCAGCAGCGTAAAACCATCAAGAGATTCAACAGAGGTGAGTCTGACACATTATAAACACGCTGAGATGAAACAGAATCTATTTATTGAATTGTTACTTTATTATTTGCCCAACTTGTTTGTGTGTTTGTTTGTTTGTTTGTTTGTTTGTTGACACCGTGTAAAGCGGCCTTGGGCCCCTTGAAAGGCGCTATAATACATGTAATCTATTATTATTATCATATGTTTAAACAGAGGCTGAGGATACAGAGCTTTAAATACTTCAAAACAATATAGTCTGATATGTACAACCTTATTTTAATTAGCATGTTATACCTACAGTTATATACGCATAGTAGGGGGGCTTTTAATGGTGTTCAGACTGAATGCAAAGTGAATGATTAAGGCGGAACAATATCCAGAGAATAGCTTTAACACTAAAACTCTCTCTCTGGTCTAAAATGGGAAGAGACTAGCTTTGCATTTAGACGTTTCCTTAATCCATCCTGATGTTCTCTCTCTCTGCTCCCGTAGTCTCCATGATGGCGACTCAGGAGTACGACGGGATGAAGGAGCAGCTCGACCTGGAGCAGAGTCTGAGAGGCAAAGCTGAGACGTACGCACACGAGGTAAAGAAACCATCACAGAAACATGATGCTAAGCTAGCTAACAAGACAGTGTCCCATTTACACATCATACACATTTACACATGGCACCATTATTCATGTTTATGTACACCTGGTCAGTGTCCTTTAAAGGTCCCCTATTATACTGTTTTTCATCAATATATCACAGGTCTCAGATATATACAGAGCCTGTCTCTGATTGGCTGAAACACCAAACAGATCATTGCAGCATTACCCATAATCCCCTCTGTTTCAGCCCTGTTTCCAAAGTGCTGATTCTGAGTCTGTAGCTTTAAATGCTAATGAGCTGCAGCTGGCCACGCCCCTCTGATAGATGATTGGTTTAAAAAAACCACAATGGTGCTCTAGGAGGAGATTCAGGTGATAAGGTGTGGGGGGGGGGGGGGGGGGGGGTTACCTTGGTTGCTGATTGGCTAATTGTTACACAAGCCAAAAAAAAAATTGGCCAAAATCTGATCAGCTCATTTTCAGACAGGTTTTTATAGAAATGGATCAGGAGAAAAAGAGAGAGAACCTTTGTTCCTGAAACTTTCAGAGTCTCTTTCCACAGAGGGGACACATGTTGATGAAGAAGAGACATGAAGAAGAGGGGACACATGTTGATGTAGAAGAGACATGAAGAAGAGGGGACACATGTTGATGTAGAAGAGACATGAAGAAGAGGGGACACATGGTGATGTAGAAGAGACATGAACAAGTGGATTTTGCATGATAGGTCCCCTTTAAAACATGGTGGAATGATATCCCTTGTATTGATTGGTTACTGATGATCAGAATCTCTTTACACAGAGGGGACACACAAAAAGTGGATTTTGCATAATAGGTGACCTTTAATATTCGATGTTGGTCTTCGCCATCTCTTAAGCTGCTATATGTTGCATTGGCTTGTCTATAGAAGCAGTGCTTTTCAATATTAATAAATGGAGCTGCAAACTCTTGTTTTTAGAGCGGATGAATAGCATGTTATTTTTATGGTTTTCGTTGCAGCAATGCTTAAAGAGGAACCTGCTAAGTATCAAGTGTTTGCACCGATAACAGTCTGAAAACATTCCATCTAAATGTGACGTCAGCTGTTTTGCAGAGGCCAAATTTAAGTAATGTCTGATGTGATTAACATGTGAACAAAAGTCTTATTCAAGGAGCTTGATCCTCACATTTCTGAGGTCTGACGATATGAAGAAATGACTTCCAATGAATCGAAAAGCTGTTTGGTGTGTGTGTGTGTGTGTGTGTGTGTGTGTGTGTGTGTGTGTGTGTGTGTGTGTGTGTGTGTGTGTGTGTGTGTGTGTGTGTGTGTGTGTGTGTGTGTGTGTGTGTGTGTGTGTGTGTGTGTGTGTGTGTGTGTGTGTGTTAATATCTGTGTGTCTGATTTATGGAATCTGAATCTGATGTGTACTGACCTGAGAAGTGAAGAGCCTGCAGGATCCACCAAACTGTGTGTGATGGGAAAGATGTGTAGAAGATGTTTCATTCCTAACTCCCTCCTTGTTTCTGTCCTCTTCCTCCTCCTCCTCCTCCTCCTCCTCCTCCTCAGATGTTGGTGAAACAGAAGGAGGCGAACAGACAGAGTATGCTCCTCCTTCAGAGTTCAGAGCCCAGCATTCAGCTCCTCAAAGCTCTGGAGGACGTCGCTGCCGTCTCCAAAACTCTGGAGCAGGAGCGACTGCAGCATCAGCAGAAGGTGAACCTTCAGAAGAGAGGAAGCTCTAACGTACTGTCAGATAGACACAGCTATAAACTAGCTGGGCGAAGAAAGTGGAGCATTTAGAAGCTAAAGAGACAGATGTTGGGAGGTGGAGACCAAAAACAGAGTTCAGATAGTCAATGATGACAGTTTTTACAACCTTTTTGGCTTTAAATATAATGTTAAAATAATAAGAATACAATTAAATAACATAAATACGTTTTAAAAAAGTCATTAAAAAAATCAAAAATAAGATTAAATAAATGTAAAAAAAAATGTTTTGTATAATAAAGTAATAAATAAAAGAAATCTCATTAAATGAAAGTAAAATAAAAATAATTGGGTTGAAATTAAAAGTATGAAATAAAATAAAAATTGTGTATGTCCTTGTGCTACAACGTATACAATGGGAAAGATAAAACAGCTGTCACATATAAGATAGATGTGTCAGTTATTGATTATCGTGTGTGTGTGTGTGTGTGTGTGTGTGTGTGTGTGTGTGTGTGTGTGTGTGTGTGTGTGTGTGTGTGTCTGTGTGTGTGTGTGTGTGTGTGTGTTTGTGTGTGTGTGTGTGTGTGTGTGTGTGTGTGTGTGTGTGTGTGTGTGTGTGTGTGTGTGTGTGTGTGTGTGTGTGTGTGTGTAGGTGGACGGTCTGGAGGCCCAGATGGAGCAGAGCTGTGTGAAGAAGCAGCTGGAGGCTCTTCAGATGCAGCTGGAGCTCCTGGACGAAGCTAAGAAGGAGGTGGAGGGACGACTGGAGGAAGAGGAGAAGAAGAACGAGGAGCTGGAGAACAGAGGCACACACACACACACACACACACACACACACACACACACACACACACACACATACACACACACACACACACACACACACTCAGATCAAATCAAATCAAATCAGGTTTTATTTATAAAGCACTTTTAAAAGCGATTTTTGGTCGAGCCAAAGTGCTGTACATGTAATAAAAACACATTACTACAAATCACAATAAACGACAATAAATTACAACAGATATATATTAAAAACAAAATAAAAATAAAACACACGGAAAAGTCAGGAGTCGTGCTCCGCTCTGACTAGAAAGCCAGAGAGAAGAAGTGTGTTTTTAGTTTAGATTTAAAAACCCCTAGGGTCTGGGCCTCACATGGAGGGGCAGATACCCCTTTCACACCAAGGCTTTTCCCCTTCAAGCTCCGTGCTAGAGCTTTTCTGGTTCAGAACCGGTTCTTCGGTTTAGCGCCGGCTCTTTTCACACCGCTCAGAGCCCGACTGGTGCTGCCGCTGCTGCGTCATGACGTCACAGTTTACGTCGCTGAGTTTCTCCCCAACGCCGGAGCTCACCTCACAACAACAACGGGCCGGGGACTGCGTTGCTTTTAATCATACGAAGCCAGATTAAATTAAATAACGACTTCTCCAACCTTATACTTTTCTCCAGAGTGCCGTGGTTCATTGTTTATTAATGTGTTTCATTTACCGACCGCTGCAGTGCTGGCTGCTCTTCCACGGGAGTTTATTCTCCCGTTAGCTCCGGGTTAGCTCACACGGCTCTAAAGTATTCACTGTCTGACTGTCACACAAGCAGCTGATACATATCCCCAGTTCCCCTTAAGTGAATGTGTGTCAGTCTGAATTGACGCTGTTTGGTGTCAGTCTGAATTGACGCTGTTTGGCATCACAACGCTGTTATGAAAGTTTCTCTGGTATAACATGGGTGATGTTAGCATAGCAACCGAAGCTAAACTGACTACTTGCTAAGCAGTTTTCTACAGGCACTTTTTACCGGCGTATTTTTCATTATGATTCTACTTGTGATAGTCGGACATGACAACCTGTGCAGCCCATGTATTGATTCCATCCGATAGCTGCTATAATAACAAACAAAACGTCTGCCTGCTCTCCACAATGATCAATAACAGCGAACGGATGGTCAAAGTAAGGTACAAATAAACAGAATCACACGAAGCCTGGTTAGTGTTGCCTGACTTTATAAAGCGTGTTTTTTTTTAACAAGTGTGTGGTTGCGTTCTAGTCACTTTTGCTCAGCACTACTGCTGGTTACAACTTTTATTTGCCGTACTCGCCTTAAGTGTTAGCTCAGGTTAATCTCGCCCCCCTCCGACGTAAGCGTGACGTATGCGGTTCTTGCTTCTAGACGGACAACTTTTTGGTGCTCGAAACGAACCGGATTCCGGAGCTTAGAGGCTGCTCCGCTGCGGTGTGAACAGGAAAACCCGGTGCTTTTCAAGCACCAGCACCGAACCGGCCCCGAAACACCGTTGGTGTGAAAGGGGTATCTGTGTTCCAGAGCCTAGGGCCAGCTGCTGCGAAGGCTCGGTGCCCTCTGGTTTTTAGCCTGGTCTTGGGCACTACCAGCAGCAGCTGGTCAGCAGACCTTAAAGCTCTGGCTGGGGTGTAGCGCTGGAGGAGTTCAGCTATATAGGCCGGAGCCAGCCCATTTAGTGCTTTAAAAACAAATAAAAGGAGTTTAAAATCAATTCTGAACCAAACTGGAAGCCAGTGCAGTGAGGCCAGAATTGGGGTGATGTGGTCACGCTTTTTGTGGCCAGCTGGACTAGCTGCAGGCGTTTAATTGAGGCCTGGTCCATACCCACATACAGAGCGTTACAATAGTCCAGTCTCGAGGTTACAAAGGCGTTAATAACCCTTTCTAAGTCATTAAAAGATAAATACGACTTGGTTTTGGCCAATAGTCTTATTTTAAAAAAGCAGGATTTTACATGACCTGCTTGTCGAATTTAAAAGTCACACTCACACACAGAGAGTGGAAACAGCAGGTGGAGAAAAGAGGGTTCTCACTTGAATGGTATTGAATTAAAGGTGATAGGACACTCCGCATAGCAACAGAAAATACTAGTTTCTGATTGGCTGGCAAGTGTCTACTACTACTATCAACATATGTATGTTTGTATAAATGTGGCACATCTCCTACAATCTCATGTCAGGTGCCATTGTAAAATAAAAGCCCTCTGAAACAATAAAACAATTCATGAGATGATGAGGAAATTAAAACTCAGTAATTAGCAGCCACAGTTTAGTCACCGCTGTCTTCTTCTTCTGTGGTTTCTGTGTTTACTCCTCCATTGACTCCCAAATAGACTTTTTGTGACCCATCTGCTGCGGGGAACCTGGCAAACACACAGCATTTCTCCTGGCGTGCGACATGGCATCTGTGTGTGTCTAAATGGGTCACATGACGTCGGCCAAAAGCACCAGCTGAAACGGTTAAAACGACAACAATAAAAACAGAAGGCTCTTTCATGAGCCGGGGAAAGTCCTCAATCTGGAGGGAAACGTGGAGGCACCAGGAAAAACATTGTAAATCAAAGTGATGCAGTGTTATTAATGTGAAGTACTTTCTCTCTCTGTATTTGTGCACACATGCACATTAAGCTGCAACAAAATTGAATTTCGGTGGATTAATTCCTAATCTTGTGATCAAAATATTTAAAGAATATCTCGAGAGCATTGTTGAGTACAACCTTATTATCAAAATGCACCACATGTTTTAATCTAATACAATGTTATGCTTCAATGCTCTTTTGTTTGCGTTTTAAAGAGAATATTTCCACTCGTCAATAAATGTTACCTATTTAATTCAATCTATAATCAAACACTTCAATAATAGCAATAATTGTGTAATAAAAAATATTTATACAAACACAAGAAGGTAAAGGAAAAATAGAAATTGTGCTAAAAGTTCAAATAAAATAAAAATATTTATATAAAAACAATAACTTAATGAATATAATACTAATTGTTTAAATAAAAACAAAATGTTAAAGTAAAAATGTGCAAATAAAAGGAATAATCCAAATTAAAATAAATGTTTTTTTATAAGAAACAAAAATAGAAAATCTCAATACAAATATTTTATAAAATGGTGTTTAATGTTGAACATTTCAACATTAAAATACAAATACTTGTATTCACTAAAGTGAAATAAATACATATAATACATGTATTACAGTTCTCCCTGTTTTCACTGTGTCACGTTTCTGATTGTCTTTCTCTCCTCAGTGCACCAGCTCCAGCAGAAGGAGGTTGCCATGACGACCGTCCCTCCTCCCCCCCCTCCTGACCCCGGGGTCGCCCCTCCTCCCGCCCCCCCCGCCACAGCCGCCTCCACCTCCACCTCCTCCCCCTCCTCCCCCGCCGCCACCCCCACCCTCCAGATGCAACCCCCTCAGGTGAGGATGACACACACGCACACACACACACACACACACACACACACACACACACACACACACACACACACACACACACACACACACACACACACACACACACACACACACACACACACACACACACACACACACACACACACGCACACACACACACACGCTCGGGATCACATCAAAACACACACACATGAACTCATTATGCAGTGTATTGTTTGTAATTCTTTGTTCAAGTCAATACATTTTAGTAATTTAATTCAATCTTTAATCAAAAACCACCAATAATAGCGATAAATGTGCAATAAAACTATATATCTTTTATTACATTTAAGTCCCAAATTGGGATCAATAAAGTACATAAAAACCACAACCAAACACACCTCCAGCATCACAACACACACACACACACACACACACACACACACACACACACACACACACACACACACACACACACACACACACACACACACACACACACACACACAGTATGTAGTATATTTGTGGTAATTCTCTGTTTGTTAGGGTAGACAGGCAATCATGACATTTTACAGCATTATATCAAAATAAAAGACAAAAATTGAAATAAGTTTGAGTTTATTTGTATTTATTTTTGGATAAACATCAACATTATAAAGCAGTATATGTTTTAAACACACATGCAGTGTTCAGTGTTTGACTCTCACTCATTGCCTCTCAGCTCTCTGATCGCCATCATGAGGAAATCCTCCAAAGGCTCCAAAACCTCCGTGAAGACAGAGCAGCCTGCAGGTGAGTCTCCATGCACCTGAAAGTTAGACCAGATGGGATGTCATGTTATAATCCAGTGAATCAATCAGAATCTGAATCAGGTTTATTGCCAGGTACGTTTACACATACAAGGAATTTTCTTTGGTATCTGGTGGTGCGAACATAAAATATCTAAAAAAATATGTTGCAAAGTAGTTAAAAAAGCAATATATAAGAATGATAAAAAATAAGTATTTTTAAGAAACAATTTTGCATAAAAAAAGATATTTACACCAAATTTAAAAGTAACTATACAAATAACCTTACAAGCTAAAAAAACAATGGGATAATGAGTATATGGCAAACTACAGTCAATTATATTTTTAAATGGATGGCTGTGCAGACATGTGTGCAAAAAGCAGTCAGAGAGTTGAGCATGAACATGGCTCAATAAGAAAATGATGTTGTTATACCTCTAAAGATTAAAGTGGACCTATCATGCTATATTTGAATAATATAGTGTAGGACCATACCTATATAAGGCATATTTATACTTTTTCTTTTTCAAAATACCAAACAGATCATGCATTTTAGCCATGCCTCATTTTGCTCAATTTGACCATTTATAGCTCTGTTTTAGCAAGGGCAGATTCTGTGAGAACAGCACCACCTACAGGCCTGGCATATGTACTACAGCGTCTCCAGCGCTTTCGAACGGCAATGGCCGTGGCTGTCTCTTCCTGATTGGTGGAGTTGGCCCAATAGACGTACAAAAGTGCATTTTGCATGATAGGTCCCCTTTAAGTTAGAATGATAGCTTACTGTCTGATCAAGTCTGAAATGTTTCCCGGTCCACTGCAGCTCCATTTGAAACATCAACAAGGACAGATATTAAGACGAGAATCAGACATTTAACATAACATCACGATCACGGAAGACAATATGTTCAAGACCCTTTAACGTACATTTGATTTGAGATTTAACTTTGCATTTAATTTTAAGATTGACCCTGTATCTCCAATTTGATGCTAACAGAGGTATTGTTCATTTTGTATTATGTGTAAGCCTGATTTATCGAGTTCCTCAAAGGGTTGACCTACAATCTTTGAGCAGTGTAGTAGTTTTGACTCTAAAATGGTAAATTAAGCATTTTTACCGTAGTATAAATGCCTAATGTTCCCCTTTTACTTTCACTATCTATATAACTAGTTAGCTAGCTTACGTTAGCTCTTTTTTTAGCTTGTTCCTAACATTTTAATGCTGCCAGTAATTTAAGAACAATAATCCCAATGCATCTGTTTGTATGTATCTGTCAGGGAATACAGTAACCTTAATTTGTATCCTGATGACAGAATCCCATCACATGTCATCCATTACCTCCCAAACCTGATTATATAACGTATTAAAACTAAAATCGTTGAGCTTTCTTTACTCCAGAAGGCGAGGGTGACGACGTGAAGGCGAAGGCGGTGAACGAGATGATGGAGAGGATCAAACATGGCGTCGTCCTGCGGTCCGTCAAGAGTCAGGAGAGCAAGGTGAGGAAGAGGAGGAAACACTGAGGGGATTTCAAGAGGAAGCTGCTTTTATTTATTTAAAAAAAAACTATATTTTAGGTGTTTTCTGATCATAAAATAGCATTTAAAAAGAATCTATAAGTCACAGACACCTATAATTAACCTGTAGTGGCCTTCGAAAAATAGCATTTGATAAAATAATATCATCACAGCACTGCACTTTAAAATCTATATTGTCTTTTCAGATATATGAGCCAATGAGTGTTTTGTTAAAAATTACTAAAAAAGAGGAAAAAGTGCAGAATAAACAAAGTAAAATGTTAATTTCACTATTGCCATTATTTATTTTTTACTTATTTCGCATTTTAATTGGATAACGCAATAATATAGTTTCTGGTGACAATTTAAAATGAATTAATTCTGACCGTGCATCAACAATAGAGAGGAGGTCAAAGGTCACCACTCTCTGACAACAAATATTCCTGTGACGTCAGAATGATAAAGGAAAAATCAATCTCCACTTCTAAACATGTCAAAGCAGCTTTTGTTGTTTTAGTGTGATAGAGTGGTGTGGGAATGAGTCAATAAACCAGAAATGAGTCAGCATTTTAACACTTCCTGTTCCCTCCTCTTAAAGTCAATGGTTTTTTTAACGTGTTTTTGTTTGGAAGCCCAACATTAGCCGCCTTTAGCTTAGCGGTGGTGACGTGAAGTCATGTGACCGTGCTGTAGTTCCTTTATAGCCCAACATTAGCCACCTTTAGCTTAGCGGTGGTGACGTGAAGTCATGTGACCGTGCTGTAGTTCCTTTATAGCCCAACATTAGCCACCTTTAGCTTAGCGGTGGTGACGTGAAGTCATGTGACCGTGCTATAGTTCCTTTATAGCCCAACGTTAGCCACCTTTAGCTTAGCGGTTGTGACGTGAAGTCATGTGACCGTGCTGTAGTTCCTTTATAGCCCAACATTAGCCACCTTTAGCTTAGCGGTGGTGACGTGAAGTCATGTGACCGTGCTGTAGTTCCTTTATAGCCCAACATTAGCCGCCTTTAGCTTAGCGGTACGTCATCACTCCCCCACTCTATTGTTTTTTTCCCTCTTTTGTCTCTTCTTTGTCGTCCTCCTGTAAAGCTCAGGACGTTGGTCAGTAAACATGTCGGTTTATATTTCCTGTCTGCAGTCTGATGCACTCTGTCTGATTATCTCCTCTCTTTCTCTGCATGTGTCTCCACAGAGAGTAGCAGTAAAAGTGAGTATATTGACGTTTGCATCAATCTTGTGATGTGGGGGAGACACACACACACACACACACACACACACACAAACACACACACACACACACACACACACACACACACACACACACACAGACATACACATACACATATGGGCTGGACTGTGAACATTTCTTATTGTAAAGCCGCAATTTAATTCATTCAGCATAGAAAGTGAGTGTTTTATGGAAAATCCATGGCACTGAATCTCTAATGATTATTTTTTATTATTTACTAAGTATATTCGTAACATCTTGAAATCTTAAATGTAGTATCACTCAGTATAAATGCATGTATACAGAATACTTTATTTATCCCAAGGGGGAAAGTAGTTTTAAGATAGTTGCTCCTTAAAGAATAAAATGTAAATGGTAGATTGATATTTCTAGTACATTTGGCTAATATAATCAAACTCAATGAATTTGTAAAGGAGGTTTTAATCCTATTTTTAGGTATGAGGTATTTAGGATGTACATGCACTTACGCAATCAGTTTTTGAGCAGGAACTTTGCATGATAATCAGAAAACTAGATTTCTTTGCAAAAATGTGTATATTACAATATTGGTGTATCCATAAATGTGAAATTCCTGGTTGCTACAGTACATGCGTGCTAATAAACCAACTGAAATCTCCCACCTCTCACCCCTCTCATTGTTCCTCAAATGCATACAATTATATTTATGTTTTGTTCTTTTCTCCAGCCGCCTCAAATCAGTGAGGAGAAACCTGAGAAACCTGAGAAACCTGAGAAACCTGAGAAACCTGAGAAACCTATGAAACCTCAGGAGAGCGCCATGGAGGAGCTGAAGGGCATCCTGGTAAAAATATATAAATATGTATCTGGATTTTTTAGTTTTGTCCCAAAGCTGCTGCTCTTAAAGAAAAATAGTGTTGTTTTAGTACCGATATTAATGCTGAAATGTACAGTTCAAAAGGGATTTAAATAAGTCCAGTGTCAGTACATTGAATCAGAGCGCTCGTTGAAACATATCATAGATAATATGAATAATAGTAATAATAGTAGTACTAGTGAAGAGTCTGCAGTGACGCTGTGTTTCTCCAGGAGACGGTGAAGCGGAGCCCCAGTCGAGGCTCCCAGGATTCGGGTTCGTCCGTTCCGTCGGGGCCGTCTTTGCCTTCAGGGAAGAAGGACAGCGAGCTGGAGGTCATCCTGAGGCGCAGACGCAACAAGGCAGGGGAGGCCGGCTCCGCAGGTACACACACACACACACACACACACACACACACACACACACGCACACGCACACGCACACGCACACACACACACACACGTTTCGAAATGTAACGCAATACTTTTTCAACAAATATCTACCTGTCTCAAATAGTCTCATCTTGCAATAATGGCTTTTATAAAACGGTTTACTTTGATTGATTTGATGATTATACAACAGAGCCTCCAGGCGTATTTCCATTGTGGTCCTCTTGTATAACACCACCAATACATTAAGAAAAACAAACTTTTTTGTTTATTAAATTCAAGTTTCCACCCACTATATTTAAATAACTATTTAACCGGTTTATTACATTTGACCACTGAACACATGTAATGGTTTGAACCGCAGTGTGCATGTGCGCCCAGAGGAGGGCGCTGTGCTTCACAGAACGATGCACATTGTGTAACTAACAGGTCAGAATAACACTGACATGGATTTATCTGCTTTTCCATCATCGACTGACCTCATCTGGCCGGATGGTCTTCTCTAAAGAAGAGGGACCAATGAAAACGTTGTCATGTTGCCGTTGTTCAGCATGGAAACATTCATTAGCTAACAATGACATTATTGTTCTATTAATATAAAGGGAGGTCAGGTACTCTTTAAAACAGCTGCTAGTTATGGGTACTTTTTACTTTTTTGCATTTCTTCTAATGTGATGTTTATTTTTCCAGCTGTGAACAATCAAAAGCACAACTTTTGAAAGAAGAACATCCATAACATTAATCTGTTTGCACCTTAACAATTATTTATCTAATATATCAAATTCCAATTACTTGTATATAGACTCTCCTTGCACTATTTATATTCTATTCTATTTTATTTACTTGCACTATTATCTGTTGTATTGTGTTGCTCTGTTGGAGGAGCCTGTGACCGAAGCTTTTCATTGACATATCTACACTGTAGATATGTCAATGAAACATGAGCCATACTGTAGATATGTACAAATGACAATAAAAGACTTGAATCTTGAATTGAATCTAAGAAAACAATCTCATGAAATAACAAAGAAAGATGTCATCCTCTCTTTTCCCTCTGGTTCCTCTCCAGATGAGCGTGAGGGTCAGATGAGCCACGTCGCCTCTCTGGACAGTCTGAACGGGAGGCGAACCAGCAGCGAATCGGGGAAAGATACAGAGGTTTCGGGGGGTCTGAGCGTCCCCTCGGACTCTGCCGGTCCCCGGGTCAGTCCGGAGAGACGGGGGTCCGGACCGGGGCCCGCCGTGGTGGCCCGGAGGAAGAGCTCCGAGACTAAAGAGCCCAGAGCCGGGTCCTGGCAGGAGAGGAGGTCCTGCAGCTCGCTGTCTGAAGCTCACGAGAGTCCCACCAGCAACGGCTGCTCCAACAGGTCAGAGAGAGAAACTAACAGTGTTGGGAAAATCCTGAATGTCCTCGTCCAATATCAGAGTCCACATGATAACAAAGGTATCCCAACTGTAGCTGTGAACATGACAGGATGTATGATTACCTAGAAGAGCATCAGGACTGTTTGAGGCATATGATAGCTATGTGATTAACATGATGATTCAGCCTCTATGGAGATAGACATATGACAAGCATGATCATTTCTGACGTGGAGCTAATCTGAAGTAAACATTGAATACTGCTTTCTATTCCTCCATCTTGTGACTGTGTAACTCCCTCTCTTGGATATCAGCATGTGAAGGACACTGTTCAGGAACTAGTTGATGCTCTGTATGTGATGACTCCTTCCATTCTGGAGAGGATCACAAATACATGGATCCTGATGTTGAAGCTCAAGACGGGGACGAGTGATTATTAACATTTTTAAGTATTCAGAAAAAGTCATGATTTTGAGAAAAAAGTCAAGATTTCCAAAAAAATTAGAAAAAAGTCAGAATCTTTAGAAAAAAGTCAGGATTTTGAGGAAAAAAGTCAGGATTTTCAGATTTTCAGAAAAAACCCAACATTTTGAGAAAAAAGTCAAGATTTTCGAAATTTTGAGAAAAAAAGTCAGGATTTGAGAAAAAAGTCAGGATTTTGAGGAAAAAAGTCAGAATTTTCAGATTTTCAGAAAAAACCCAACATTTTGAGAAAAAAAGTCAAGACTTTGAGGAAAAAAGTCAGGATTTTCAGAAAAAAAACAACATTTTGAGAAAAAAACTCAGCATTTTGTACATGACAGGATGTATGATTACAAGAACCGGTATTCCTCCATCTTGTGACTGTGTAACTCCCTCTCTTGGATATCAGCATGTGAAGGACACTGTTCAGGAACTACTTGATGCTCTGTATGTGATGACTACTTCCATTCTGGAGAGGATCACAAACACATGGATCCTGAGATTGAAGCTCAAGCCGGGGACCAGTGAGATGTTTCTAACAGGAACCAATGCTTTACCCTGTTAGCTCTTATACTGTGATCTCTTGCAAGACTTTGTGCAAGGAAGTACCGTCTAGCTCCATTACATTGAAGAGAAGGCAAAACATCTCTACAACCGATATCTCACTCTCTGACAGTTTCCATGTGTTTGTCTTGTCTCCACAGTGCGGGCGAGGAAGATCAAACTGCGCCTGAGAAATGTATCGAGACGAACGGAGTCGATCACGCTGAACCCGGACAGGAAGAAGTCCTGAAGGACAACGGCAGCTCCGAGTGTTAGGCTGGACTCTGAGGATCCCGGGCTTGTTTCTGTTACCTGATCCATCACTGGCTCTGATTGGCTGACGTGAGAGCGACGTCATCGATATCCACTCTCTGATCAGAAGGGTTTAAAGTGCGGTCACACGTTTGCCTTTTTTGTTTATCGCCGTCAGAACAAGAGGGGGAAACTTTGTCGTACTTTTTTTGTATTTGTGTTTTTTTCAAAAGTATACTTATAATACCAGGTTACTCTGTTAACGAACATGTAGCTAATTTATTGAACACGCTTGAGCTTTTTCTAAATCTATTTCCTGAAGCTTTATGTTGAAAAAGCTGAATATTAAACGCAGATAAACTGTTCAGAACATGCTTGTTGTGAACGCAGCCTCACATTTCTAGCCATTGTAGAAGCCCTACCTCCTTAAAAACAACGCACCTGTCACTCGTCAGCAGTTTAGCAATGAATTGAATAAAGCGTGGGTCAGTGCAGGTACTGTAACAATGACAGGAACGTTTTTGAGAGATGCAATAGTCCTTAACCTGGAAGAAACACAGAAGAGCGTCTGCAAAAATGTGTTAAAAGTTATCAAAACGTCACGCTAATTTTACAATAAGTAGGTGATAGAAGACGCTAACTTTCCAAACAGACAATTCGTTGCAGTCGCAGTGTTTGCATTAACTAGAAAACATAATCTACTGTTTGTTTTCTTGATCACTTCATTGTGCAAGTGACCCCTTGAGGACATCTGGGCTTACAAGGCTTTACTTTCAGGCCATCAACATGCATTAAAAGTTCCTCTGCTGTTTCTAAAGGCACTGTTTTAGCATCTTAAACAACGTCTGTGAGCCTTAAAGTGATTGCAATTAGGTACAAAGTTTGGAGATAATAAAACTATATGTATAACACACTTATCTCGCTGGCCTTAACCGTTATGAGCAAAACAACCTTCATGAATTTCAAGTAGAAACTTTTCAAACCTTAATTTTCACCACCTTTTTCCATTGAATTATCCAAAATTCACCGACTGCTTCCCCCGTGTCTCAGAGAAGCTGATTGGTGGCCAAGGAAAGAGATCTTATTTTATTTTAGGTGGAAAATATGGTCAACAATAAGGAATAAAAGGTTCACTATAGAGATTGCATGTCTTAAGAAAACGTACGGAAACATGCACAAAGATAAAGAATACATCTCAAATGTTTAATGCGGACATTTTGGGATTCTTGTTTGACAAAAACGTTTCTGAAAAAAGCAATTGCCATACTTGTTGATTTTCATATCCTTATACCTTAAGTAGCCTCAAATCCATTCAAATATAACAATGGCTCTTTATTTGAGCTTGCATGGGATCTGTAATCCAATGAACTAAAGTGTTAAACCATTAAACCTTTTCACAGCTCAATAAAACTGCATGTATGAAAGGTTTACCCATAATAATCATCAAACATGACCGAGTATCGGCGAGGGGCTTTCTACAATGGCTGCTGTTAGGAAGATATGACTCCAGCATTTATGGGTTCTTTTCTTTGGAAGGTTTCTGAAAACAAACCTGTGGATCCTGCAGAACTGTACGAGGGAAGCTGCACCCTTTTTTGCACAGGACCTCTTCAACTTGTACAATGACTGCAAACTGCAAAGCTTTTAGTTGTTTTATAATCGATGCACAAATGATCTGTTCAATATCACTTTGTGTCATCAGAAGGAATGCACTGTACGGTTTAGATGCAGCTCTACAACCTCTTCTTTGACTTCCTCCCATGTGTGAGCGGGCTGCACAAACTGATTCACGGGAGATCAGGTTGCTTTTAGATTCATTGGTGGAAATAGAGTGGTGCAGGAATGAGTCCTAAAACCAGGAAGTGAGTCAGCATTTCACCACTTCCTGTTCCCTCGTCTCAGAGCCAATGGGATCTCTCCATAAGATTTAGGAAAATATCTGGAACTAAGGTCTGTGGTTGAGACACATTGAAGAGACGGATCACGTTTTGTTCTAGGACATTAAATCCATCAGCAGTGACCCCACTGGTGATTTCTGAAGAGTTGACGTGTCTGAAAAACGATGGTTGTTACCAAGTGGCTGAATAGGACTACAGAAGTCGTGGAGGCCGTTGTACGTCATTACGCCGAACACGTTAACACTCCTCTAAGTTAGTTTGCCCTGTTCTGCTTGAAAGCAAGTACCTGCCTCCTGCAAAGTGTTCAAACAAACGCTTCAACTCGTACCATTTAGAATCTGTGTGTTTGAATATGGATCTGAAGTTGGCGTGACGTTGAAGTCGTGCTGCTGGACTCGGCTGTAGTTCCTTTATAGCATAACGTTAGCATTTTGCTTCTGGCCATTAGAGTTATGATTAGAACATTATAAAAGTAGGGTAGACATGTGGAGATTATCCGGCTGAACAAAACGTGCATTTATCAAACAGGTTCGTTTTCCACAGATCTTATTTTTTACAATATTCCAAAATCCTGTGGAGAAATCCCGTTGCTTTTTTGTCGAGGGAACCAGCAGCTTCCTTCGGGTCGGCCTACAAAAATACGTCATCACTGCACCTCTCTATATTGGAGCAATTTACTTAACGGACGCTTTCCTTCAACCACTAAGGCAGAACATCTTGTCTAGGGTTAGGGTTAGGACAAACACGATCAAATTCAACGATTCAATAAAAACGTATATATTCCTTAATTACTTTAAAGCATTCATGGTTTCCACCTTAAGATTTAGATAAAGAATCAGTGTCCAAAATGTGCAAAGATACCTAAAGACATGACTTCCATTGGATTTGTCTTCTTTGGAGCAGTTCATAGATGAGTTTCAAGGCTATCTGCAGAGTCAGTTTCAATATTTATTGTGTTTTTATATATTTAATGTAAAAAACACACTTAATCAGGAAGTTCCTTTGACACCTAATTGATGATGCATTTTGATCGGGAACGTTATTTTTAACTGCAGATTCTAACCTCAGTGCAATCGATAACTATTTATATATCAATGAGTAATCCTAGCCCTAATCCTCATTATTAATAATACTAGATTGAGTGACCTTAACATTGATTACAAGTTCCAAGTAACTTGACTTCCTGAGCAAACTGCATCCACTGATGGAGTCCAAAAGTTGTGCCGACTTTGTTCAAGAACTGTTCAAGTCTTAAAGCTCTTGAGACGTCTTGAGTCTTCATTGTGCAGCCCTGACTGTAGTATAGAGGTTTTTAGAGTATCTCCTCATGAAGTTCGTCTGCTTAGACCAACTCTTGCTGAGCCTAAACTTAAGGAGGCTGAGGGGAAAACCCAGGACCAACATACTATAAAAACTGTGCTGGAAGAACTGTAGGAAAGCACTTTCTTTCCACTCTCGCTGCTGAGGCTCCGTCCAGGTTTCAGCGTGACGACTATCAGGCTTTTTGAGGCGCGAATCAGACAGATGTGGAGAAGAAATGTGGATAATATTTCAGGTTTAGAGGAACAACAGCAATGATAGTAGCACAGCGCTATCAGATAACAGAAGTGTTCTCAGGGTTTCAACCAAAAACCAATCTGCAGCAGGCAGCAAAGCGTTGGGGAGAAACGACCAGAAAGCCATTTTTCTATGAATGAGCGAAGGATAAGAGCTGCTTTGAAGGAACGAGGTGCTTGTTTTCTTTGTCTACCTCTCCACAAACACCTGCCTCCTTACCTGAATTACATGTTGTGGTGTGTAATACTGTCCCTCCAGCAGAAATAAGATGTCTTCCACACGCCTTCCTCCACTGTATGCACACTCATTGTTTCTGTACTCGGTCACTCACCGTCACATTTCACCGTGCATTCCTTGACTTTTTTATTTGGTAGGGCTGTACTGTCTATATATAGCTTTCCTGACACGTGATGCAACATTAGGAACCATTTTTGAAGAGTATGCAATTACATAAGGCACATTTGTATGATGCTTTCACACCTTGTCATTCTTTCTTTAAACACATTTCAAAGTGCATTGTGTTCCGTCCATTAGGTGTATTTGATTCTAATGCAAAGGACCAGGATTGAAGGAGGCACATTATAAAACCCACTGAATCTGATGCATATCGAGGGGTGGTGTTTTGGGTCCTATTTATTAACCAAGTGGCTACTTAACAAAGGGATTCACTGTATCTGACAGAGTTTGGGTGACTATAGATATTGTGTGTGTTTGGGATATACATGGAGTGGTGTTTTTTAAAACATGAATTTTGATTTTAGCATCACTTGAAATAAATTGAAACTAAAACCAGTGTTTGTCTTTTTTTTGAAAAAAGTAAATAAACAAAAGCCACCGATACACCTACACAAATGAATGGTTAGGACAAGCTCACCTACATTGAGAAAACAAAAAGAAACACAATATAACATACCTTGGCCCAAAAGACCAAATGCTCAATTATTTTGAAAGTTATTTTGTTATTTGGTTGAAATAACTCCCTAGTCCCATATACTTAGAATATAGAATATATAAATCATTGAACTTAATCATTGCTGACTGAGACTTCTACATACATTTCTACCAGAGGTGGGAAGTAGTGGAGTACAAATACTTTGTTACTCTACTTAAGTACATTTTTCTGGTATCAGTACTTTACTCCACTACTTATTTTTCTGACGACTTTTTACTTTGACTTCTTACATGTTGAACCCAAATACCTGTACTTTCTACTTCTCACATGTTGAACACAAATACCTGTACTTTCTACTTCTTACATTTTGAACACAAATACCTGTACTTTCTACTTCTTACATGTTGAACACAAATACCTGTACTTTCTACTTCTTACATGTTGAACCCAAATACCTGTACTTTCTACTTCTTACATGTTGAACCCAAATACCTGTACTTTCTACTTCTTACATGTTGAACACAAATACCTGTACTTTCTACTTCTCTCATTTCCCAAACAGGCTGGTTCCTTTAGTTTGAATGTGTGTTTGGTGGCGTGATCATTATTATTTAGAGTCATTGCGTGCCTATTGATTTGAACACGATCCGTGTATCCATCATTTCCTGGTCTTCTCT